ACAAACAAGAATGATGAAAGGTCCAGAGAACACAAGCTAGGAGGGACGACTGAAAGAACTGGGCTTGTTTAGTTTGGAACGGAGAAGACCGAGAGGGGACATGATAGCGGCTTTCAAGTACCTAAAAGGGTGATACATGGAGGAGGCAGAAAAATGGTTCTGCTTAGCCTCTGAGGATAGGACAAGAAGCAATGGGCTTAAATTGCAGCGAGGGATGTTTAGGTTGAACATTAGGAAAAACTTCCTGTCAGCACTGGAATAAATTGCTTAGGGAGTCTGTGGCATCTCCATCAGTGGAGATATTTAAGAGCAGGTTAGACAGGCATCTATCAGGGATGAGCTAGATGGTGCTTGGTCCTGCTGTGAGGGCAGGGGACTGGACTTGATGACCTCTTGAGGTCCCTTCCAGTTCTAGTGTTCAATGATTCTATGATACTTCACAGCGTGCTGCGAGGATAAACAGGTTGTAAATTGTGAAGCGCTTGGATCCTATGGGAACAAGGGCCAGAGATGTACAGTAGATAGAATTCTCTGTTTTCCCTTCACATTTCACCCTGTGCAAATGACCAGGAGCAGCCCGAGGCCGGCTGCAGCAGCTGGCGCCCTCGGTGGAGTGGCGCAATTGGCGCCCCTGCCTGAACAGCCGTCAATGGCCATGACGTCATTATGGGGCACCCCGGCGCCCCGTAACATCATCATCGGGCGCCCGGGCCAGCGGCGCCCTAGGCAGCTGCCTAGCTCGCCTAGGCTCACGGGCCACCCCTGCAAATGACCCTACTGTCTTTTTATTGAGAGGCTCGCTCCAAGGACAGAAATTTATTCCCCCTTAACAGGCTCATACCTGCTTTGGTTTCAACCACCACAGGATCTGAGGGGATGGAAGGTGGACCAATCCCTGCTTTGTTGAATGCTCGTACTTGGAAAATGTAGCATTTCCCCGTCTCCAGGTCAGAAACCTGTGAAAACCCAATGTAACAAATTAGCACCCCACTAAGTAATAAGAAACGCTGGCCTGCTAGGCTTAATACAAACCCTCATGTGGGTGCTGGCTGTTGGCTGCTCATTTAATTGCTTCCATGCCTCTGACCCCTCCTCACAGACATCTATGTAATATCCCGTGAGTGGACCTGCTCCAGTGTATAGGGGCGCTTCCCAGTGCAGCATCAGGGTTGCATCCCGCACCTCGGTGCACCTCACGTCGTACGGGGGGCCTGTTTTGAAGCAGGGCAGACTGTCAAACAGGGACACCGGAAGAGACGATGCAGCAACGTTTAGCCTCAGATCACAGGGTTGATGGCAACGAATGAGTGGTGGGCTCAGCAGAGGGGCCTGTCTCCAGCAGGCTTTGTATGAGAGGGTTCAATGCCCTTTGTACCAACGTAACACACCGAGAGAGTTACGTAATGAGTCGGGGTTCCCCAGGCTCCGGATCCCAGCTGGCCACACGGACAAGCCTAGCAATGATCCCTAGAACATAAGAACGGCCACACGGGGTCAGACCAAAGGTCCATCCAGCCCAGTGCCCTGTCTGCCGACAGTGGCCAATGCCAGATGCTCCAGAGGGCATGAACTGAACAGGTACCGATCAAACGATCTCTCTCCTGTTATCCTCTCCACCCTCTGACAGACAGAGGCTAGGGACACCATTCCTTACCCATCCTGGCTAATAGCCAGCGCTCGCCGAGCGGCAGCGAGCCCTGCTCACCAGCCGCACGGTTCTGCGCTCTGTACATGTGCAGATCGTTCTGCGCCGGCTCTTCCGGGGTGTCATCTACTTGCCACGGGCGAGTAGATTACATTGTTTGTCGAGTTCTGCTAATAGCCATTAATGGACTTAACCTCCATGAATTTATCTAGTTCTCTTTTAAACCCTGTTATAGTCCTAGCCTTCACAACCTCCTCAGGCAAGGAGTTCCACAGATTGGCTATACGCTGTGTGAAAAAGAACTTCCTTTTATTTGTTTTAAACCTGCCACCGATTAGTTTCATTTGGTGGCCCCTAGTTCTTGAATTACAGGAACAAGTAAATAACTTTTCCTTATTCACTTTCTCCACACCAGTCATGATTTTATAGACCTCTATCATATCCCCCCTTAGTCTCCTCTTTTTCAAGCTGAAAAGTTCCAGTCTCTTTAATCTCTCCTCATATGGGACCCGTTCCAAACCTCTAACCATTTTAGTTGCCCTTCTCTGAACCTTTTCTAATGCCAGTGTATCTTTTTTGGGATGAGGAGACCACATCTGTACACAGTATTCAAGATGTGGGGGTACCATGGATTTATATAAGGGCAATAAGATATTCTCCGTCTTATTCTCTATCCCCTTTTTAATGATTCCTAACATCCTGTTTGTTTTTTTGACAGCTGCTGCACACTGCATGGACGTCTTCAGAGAACTATCCATGATGACACCAAGGGTATGTCTACACTACCACCCTAGTTCGAACTAGGGTGGTTAATGTAGGCAACCGGAGTTGCAAATGAAGCCCGGGATTTGAATTTCCCGGGCTTCATTTGCATGTTGCCGGGCGCCGCCATTTTTAAATGCCGGCTAGTTCGGACTCCGTGCCCGCGGCTACACGCGGCACGGACTAGGTAGTTCGGATTAGGCTTCCTATTGGAACGAGGAGTACAGGTAGTTCGGAATAGGAAGCCTAATCCGAACTACCTAGTCCGTGCCACGTGTAGCCGCGGGCACGGAGTCCGAACTAGGCGGCATTTAAAAATGGCGGTGCCCGGCAACATGCAAATGAAGCCCGGGAAATTCAAATCCCGGGCTTCATTTGCAACTCCGGTTGCCTACATTAACCACCCTAGTTCGAACTAGGGTGGTAGTGTAGACATACCCCAAGATCTCTTTCCTGATTAGTTGTAGCTAAATTAGCCCCCATCATATTATATGCATAGTTGGGGTTATTTTTTCCAACATGCATTACTTTACATTTATCCACATTAAATTTCATTTGCTATTTTGTTGCCCAATCACTTAGTTTTGTGAGGTCTTTTTGAAGTTCTTCACAGTCTGCTTTGGTCTTAACTATGCTGTGCAGCTTAGCGTCGTCTGCAAACTTTGCCACCTCACTGTTTACACCTTTCTCTAGATCATTTATGAATAAGTTGAATAGGATTGCTCCTAGGACTGAACCTTGGGGAACACCACTAGTTACCCTCTCCATTCTGAAAATTTACCATTTATTTCTACCCTTTGTTTCCTGTCTTTTAACCAGTTCTCAGTCCATGAAAGGATCTTCCCCCTTATTCCATGACAACTTAATTTACGTAAGAGCCTTTGGTGACAGACCTTGTCAAAGGCTTTCTGGAAATCTAAGTACACTATATCTACTGGATCCCTCTTGTCTACCTGTATGCTTGACCCCTTCAAAGAACTCTAATAGATTAGTAAGACATGATTTCCCTTTACAGAAACAATTTTGACTTTTGCCCAACAAATTATGTTCTTCTATGTGTCTGACTATTTTACTCTTTACTATCGTTTCAACTAATTTTCCCTCTTCCTTGTTATTTGTATTTCTGTAGCACTGGGGAGACCCAGGCATAGACCAGGTCACACAGTGCTAGGCACTGTACAAACAGAACAAAAAGATGATCCATGTCCACTGGGATGAGATCTCAGAGCCTAAGGGGCGAGCTTTATTTGGTAACAAGAGTCCCTGTGTCCTTTCTTAAAGTCACAGCAAACAGAGTGCCCAAAGGTAGGAGTCATGTGTAACTGCATCTCTGGGCAAGCCTGATGTCAGGACCCACGAGGTTTGTGTCTGAGTCTCGCTGGTGATGTGTGTGCTAGGGATTCCCCAATCACCGACATGGCCAGAGGATGGGTCCGAGCTGCAGAACTCTGGCCCAGATTCTAAGCCCAGCCTCCCAGAATGTGGAGAGCGTTCTGATCAGGGCTTCTGGCACTAGTATACTGATCACAATACGGCACCTGACCCAAACTTCCCCAAAGTTTGGTGTGTCTGGATCCAGGGTTCCTACTGGAACTCATCACCACGGCCAGATCTCATACAGTCATCATTTTACTTTACGGAGGGGGATAGTCAATGTTCCGGGAATTGTTTTCTAGCTGTTGCTGCTTAGGGATGTGATCAGATAGTTGGTTACCCAGAAAACATCACCCTTCACACTAGGCTGGAAGCAGCCAAGCAGCAGCAGCTCCAGCCCACCCCCATTAATCAGTTAAATGTTAAACTAAACATTTAACCAACTAACTAAGTAAATGGGATTTTACATCCCTATTGCTGCCGGGATGTCCTTACCTGGCTGTGGCATGGTCCATTCCTCGCACTTGAACAAGTCGCTGGGGTCAGAGACTTTCCCAACTCCCACCATGTTCATCGCGCAAGCACGGAACTCATAGAATTGTCCTTCCTGAAGGTTGGCAACCTTTGATGTCAGAAGCCAAGAGATTATTAGCACCGCCTTGTACAGTGTGTTTGTAATCGGTATCTTTAAGGGTATGTTTTTGCGATGACATGGAAAGGGCTTATAAAAAGCCCCTCCCAGCCCATTAACAAAGAGCTTTTGTGGATAATTTAATGCATCAGTTACAACATCCCATGTACACATTGTATTAGGAAAGAAAAGAGCAACCTGACAATTAAGCTTACTGCTGCCCCTTTCGCCTGAGGGTACGTCTAAATTACATGGCTCAGTTGACGGAGCCATGTAGATTTGTTGTTTTGGCAAAGGCAAATGAAGCCGCGATTTAAATGAGCGGAGAAGTTGTCTGACTTAGTGCGGAGGGACACTCAAAGACAGTGGGGGGGAACCTGCCTTGCAGGGGTTGCATGCGACTCATCAGGACAATCTGATTGCAGCTCATGAGACATTTTGCTGACTTTGACCGTCTTCAGGCACTCCCCTGCAGCTCTCGCGGTTCACTGTTCCTAGCCAATGGCAGTGGCAGCCAACCCGTCTCTGTGGCCCTTCTGCCTGCAGGTCCCATTGGCTGGGAATGGTGAACCGTGGCCATAGGAAGTAGCAGGGCTCCATGCCTGCAGATGCTTCCATAAACAGAGCATCTAGCAGCCTGCCACGTGTGGTTTGGGAACTGGAGGTTCCCTGCCCCTGCTCTATGGCTATCCGTTGCCCAATGGCCTTCTGAAAGCTGTTCATGTTGCATGAAAAAAAACACTATGAAGTGGGTAGAATTTGTAATAAGCCATGCCTGACTTTCATCAATGACTTTTACAGCTTTTCACTTCTCAGATGCCATAAGTGCATTCAGAGGTTAGCATATAATGGGATGTGCCGATGGACAGATATTTCTCCTTTCTTTCATCTGATTAGTATGAAAAAGGTGAACCACAAGTTCCATGCCATGAATGGGAAAGGCAAGTGTACTAGTGTACTGTTTAAATTACTAGTTCTGGCAATAAATTTTTTTTCAATATTTATGTTTATGTAAGAAAATGTTCATTATAAACTTTCCAACAGACCTACAGACACTGAAAAGTCCATCTAACTTTCTGCCACCCCATCAGACATGTCTACGTATTTGATAAATGTGCAGTGGGGATATAGTAAGCTATGAGACTCTCACCAGAAGGTGCCTAATTAAATTATCTTTAAGAAGACTAGTGGATGGGAATAAGAGGACCTCAGAGGATTTTATTTCCGGGTGATTCTTTTTAGTAGAAAAATGCAATTGGCCAGTGGAAGCTGTGGGTGGTGGTGCCTGCGGACAGTTGACATCAGCAAAGTGTCTCGTGGCCCACTGATTACCGCTTCATATACCAATGACCACCGCTCCATTTCCTCCCCCAGCAATGTGGTGTCGCATTATAGATCAGTACCTTGTGAACTCGCTGGGCAATTGGCCTGACGTTGACTTCATGCCAGTCTAGCTCAGCTGCATTGTGCTGATCCAGGAAGTAGCCCAGAATCTTACACCCTCCTTTGCGCTTTGGGGCTTTCCATCCAATAGTCATGTCGCTCTTCCCACAGCTCAGCAGGGCAAAGTCCCGTGGGGCTGACGGACAAGCTAAGTGGTGAGGACACAGGGAGGAACATAGATATTGTATGAAATAGATTTAGGATCCCGCTGGCGATCCAGAGGAAAGTTGCTGACATCGAATCAGTTAGAGCAGAGGTTTTCAAACAACGGGTTACAACCCAGCACTGGGCGGTGCAATGTCGGGCCCTGGGTCTCATTGCTGCAGGGGGATCAGGTGACCAGTGTAGCTCCCTGCCTGTCCTGGCACTGCAGGCTGTACTGTGCCCCAAAAGCAGCTGGAAGCAGGCCCAGCTACTAGGGATAATGTGTGTGTGCAGGGGTGTGGGGAGTGCACAGGGCTCTGCACACTGCCCTCTCCCCGATCACTAGCTCCACATTCCCATTGGCTGGGAACGCTGGGACCCTGCTGCTGGCTGTTTCTGGGATGCAGCACAGTCTGTGGTGCCAGGAGAGGCAGGAAACTGCCTTAGCCCCCCCACTGCACCGCTGACCGGGAGCCACTGGAGGTAAGCCCCTCCTGCCCCAGCCCTGACCCCCCCAAAACAGGAGCCCCCTCCAGCACCCCAAAGCTCATCCCCAGCCCCACCCAGAGCCCACACTCTACTCAAATTATGTTGGGTTGCGGCATCAACGATTTTCTTCAGCGGGTCATGAGAAAAAAACAGTTTGAAAACCACTGAGTTAGGCTGACTTATTTGTGCCATGCACGTTCACAACTGGCTTGATTCTCATGTACATGAAGGCCGCTTTGCATGGGTTTGGCAATGCAAAGGGGCCTTCAGATGAGCCTGCCTTTCATTTAGATCAGAGCAGGGCAAAATACACCCCGAGGGCCAGATCTGGCCGGCCAAGCCACCGGCTGCAGATCTGCCGGGGCCCTCAGGCACGCAGCTTCCGGGATTGAAAGCACAGACTATGCTCTGCAGGGAGAGAGAGGCTTTGTGTGACCTCTCCATCCCCAGCCCAATCCTCAGCTCCTATTGGCTGGAAACAAACAGCC